TGTCCCCCCCAGTCCCTCTTTCCCTTAAACTAGAGGCCCCCAGCTCCCTCCGCCATTCACAGAAGCCAAAACGTTATTATTTTAAGCAGGTTATGCCCTTCCTGCAAGCCGGAGGGCCTTTCCCGCCCCCCGCCCCCCCAAATCAGGGCCGTTTGGAAGCGGGGCGCAGCCGTGTCGATGTCTCCTCCTCCTCCTCCTCCTCCTCCCCGTCTCCAGTTCCCCTCCGAGGGCCGGCCGAGCTCTGCTCAGCCAGGCAGCCTTCCTCCTCCTCCTCCTCCTCCTCCTCAGCCCGCCTGGAATCCCTGCTCCCGTCAGCGTCCAAAGAGGCTAATCGCAGAGAGGGCAATCATTTGACTGGCTAATACCCAGAGGACAAACATTTATTGCAACCACAAGTATTTTCGGGATTATGGCGTATAATGCTTCTGAAAAGCCTGTTTCTGGGGGCATGTTTGTGTAAGCAGATTTGCCCCCTTTCCGCCCCCTCCCTCCCTCTCTTCTCTCTTGCTTCTCTTCTCTCCCCCCACCCCCAAAGCAAGTGCTCCAAGGAACATCAAACTTCCTCCTTTCCTCCTCTCCCTCTCCTCCTCTTCTCCTCCTCCTCCTCCTTCTCCTATCCTTCTCCTCTTCCCCTCCTCCTTTCCTCCTCCCCCTCTCCCCCCCTTCTCCTCCTCTTCCTCTTCCTCCTCTTGCTCGTCCTCTTCTTCGCCTCCTTCTTCTCTTCTCCTCCTCCTCCTCCTCCTCCTCCCCCTTCCCCTTCCTTTCCTCTTCCTCCTCTTCTTCTTCCTTCTCCTCCTCTTCCCCCTCCCCCTCCTCCTATCCTTCTCCTCTTCCCCTCCTCCTTTCCTCCTCCCCCTCTCCCTCCCCTTCTCCTCCTCTTCCTCTTCCTCCTCTTCGCCTCCTCCTCCTCTTCTCTTTCTCTTCTCCTCCTCCTCCTTCCCCTTTCCTTTCCTCTTCCTCCTCTTCTTCTTCCTCTTCCGCCTCTTCCCCCTCCTGCTCTTCTCCTTCTCCTCCTTCTCTCCTCTTCCTCTTCCTCCTCTTCCTTGTCCTCCTCTTCTCATCCTTCTCTTCTTCTCTTCTTCTCCTCCTCCTTCCCCTTCCTTTCCTCTTCCTCTTCCTGCTCCTCCTCCTCCTCCTCCTCTTCTTCTTCTCCTCCTCCCCCTTCCCCCTTCTTCCTCTTCCTCCCTCCCTCCCTCCCCCCTCATTTTAATAACAAAGATACCAGTGATGGGATTCAATTTTTTTACTACCAGTTCTGTGGGCGTGACTTGGCAGGTGTGGCTTGGCTTGGTGGGCGTGGCTTGGTGGGCGTGGCTTGGTGGGCGTGGCCCAGGAAGGATATACTGCAAAATCCCCCTCCCCACCCCACTAACCTACTTTCCAGCTCCGTTCTCCTGGGCAGGGCAACCCAAGAAGACCCAGCCGATCAGCTGGGACTCAATGGGAGGCAGAGAAGAGGTGGGGGCCAGTCAGAGGCGGTATTCCAAAGGACTCAAAATTTCCGCTACTGGTTCTGTAGAACTAGTCCAAACCGGCTCAATAGATACCCCCTCTGAAAGATACTAATTTTTGTCTTTTCGAATCTTTATTATAAGTTTCCCCCCCCCACCCCCAAAGCTGAAATGGGGGTACTAACTCAACCTCTCCGAACAAATGACCTTTCTTTGCCACTCAGCATTTTGCAGCCTGCTACAATAATCACGCTAATTTCCTAATTGGTCGGAGGCCGGGGAGCGGGGCTTGGCTTTCTGAGATTAAAGCTATTTAGCCCGACTCTGCATGGGGGTGCGCTTTAATTTAAAAAAAAAACAACACAACTCACAATGAAGGACTGACACAAACCTCGGTCCCGTTGGACGCTGGACGTTGCTGTAGGCCTGCCACAATTTACAGGGGGCACACACAAATTGCCCCTAACTTGATGTGGTCACCAACTTGGACTAATTCAGCTAATTATTTGCCCCTTGCCATTTTATCTTTGTTTTGCCACTGTCCCGTATATGTATGTATGTATGTTTGTTTGTTTTCTGATATACATACACACACACACACACACACATTTTCCCCCTCCTGGGAGGGTTTTCACTCTGCTCCGCTCCCAAATGCCACCAGTGCCTGAAAGGGCTGCCTTTTGTGAGCCCAAGGCACCCATCGGTGGAAGTAAAAACCCAGATACCTTACGCCCACTTCTAACCTAATAATTATCCCTCTGAATGCTCCTAAATTAAATAAGTGTTTTTTAGCTACATGACTTTAAAAAGGAAAAAAAAAGTGGGGAGGTTGCTTTCGCGCACTGAACGGAGAACCCAGCGTAAAAATTCCCCACTTTGCTCTCTTTTGCAAATGGGATATGATTGCATGCCTCTCTTTCTCTCTCTCTCTTTCTCTCTCTCTCTTTCTCTCTCTCTCTTTCTCTCTCTCTCTCTCTCTCTCTCCTCCCTCCCTCTCTTTCTTTCTCTCTCTCTTCCCTCTCTCTCTTTCTTTCTGGTATTCATCCGGCTAGCGTCCTGTCGGTGTGTGAGAGAGTTTTGAGGGTTGTTTGGAAACTGAAACCATATTTGCTGTGTGAGCAAGAAGGAGACAGTAAGGAACCTGGGTGGGGCTTAGCTCAACTGTTCTGTCCTAGAACTGCTTGGTGCTCTGAATCTGAAACTGAAACTCCTCTGCTTGTGTTTTGCCTTTGGAAGAGATTTCTTTCCAGGTGGGGAGGGGGAGTCAAACTCCTTAGCATCAGAGCGTGTTAATAATAATAATAATAATAATAATAATAATAATAATAATAATAATAATAATAATAATAATAATAATAATAATAATATAGGAAATACTCTAAATACTCTGAGGGTCATTTTGAAAAATCCTTTCTTAGGGAGCCCCTAGAAGCCAAGAGGAACATATGTGCCAAGATAGATAGATAGATAGATAGATAGATAGATAGATAGATAGATAGATAGATAGATAGATAGATAGATAGATAGAGGGGGTCTGGCATGAAGCCTAGGGGAACGTGGGTGGGAAGTCAACTTGGAGAAAATAGAATAGAAGAATAGAATAGAACAGAATATAATAGATGAAGAATAGAATAGAATAGAATAGAATAGAATAAGAACTAATTAGAATA